CCTATGGGACTTTGCATTTATTTTTAATGTTTTGGGACTTCCAATTAATTAGATTCTTGTTATGGGATTTCAAAGTGATTTTTCCTTCTTAAAATATATTTTAGTTTATTTTAGTTTAATTACAAGATATCAGCAGGGACCTACAATAACCGCACTAATTTTATTTTCTTTTTTGGTCAGAGTTAGGCCATACCAATTCACCAAAACAAAGCAATTTAAAAGAGAAAAGTATGTTAGAAGTAGGCCACACCAATAAATGTTAATCCAATTGATAAATATTTAGCTCATAAGGCCATGGGTTCATATTTCATTATCAATATAACAACCTTATTAGTAAATAATATATAAGTATTCCTATAATCATTTTTTTTAAATATGGAGACATACTTAGATTTTAGTGAGCTTTAAACCTAAGCTCAACTCTTGTAAACTTTTTATTATTGCCTTCGTCACAAATTATAAGACACTTATGAAAAATATTTGCCATCCCTAGATATAAGATATTTTGACAAAAATAAAACTTTATTAATGATATTTGTTTTAATATTATCCTTCATATATATATATATATATATTATCTCTTTAAGATTCTTTCATAAATAGAATATTAAATGAAAATCTTTTAAAAAAAATTTATATTTTTATCTTAAAAAAATAAAATTATAAAATATATTGAATGAATTTTATTAATATACGTGATTTATTTAAGAATATTTTATAAATTAAAACAGATCGGGAAGTGAGAGAGGGAGAGAAATAAGGTGACCTGGCAGTTCAAATTTTTCCAAACCTAATCTAGTTTGAGAATTGAAGATTAAAGAATGATCAAATAGGGCTCCATTTTGGTATTATTTGTTTTTTGTATATATATTTTTGATCATACCTTGTTAAGATTTTTGAAGTGTCTTGATATTTCAATATTTTAATATACTTCTTTAGTTTAAAAAATATAAGATATTTTTAATTGAATCTCACCTTTTAATAAAGTAGTTATCTACTTTTCAACTAACTCTATTTTTTCATATTTACTCCTATTAAATATCCTATAATAAATATAAATTTCTTATCAATAGGAGCACTTTTAAAAAAAAGGTAATAATTATATCTTAAAAGATTAAAATGTCTTATATTTTTAAATGGAGGGAATATATATTTGTGGATACCATTTTCTTTTAATCATTTTTCCTTTAAACAAATTTTGACAAGTTTTTTAGCGAGTTTGGCCCCGTTATTACTATTTAGAATGACGTGCCATCTTGTCTATTAAAAAAAAAAGAAAAAGAAAAAGAAAAAAAGAATGATGTGCCACCTTGATTTAGATCGGAAATGTATTTCTGTCCACTTAACAGTTATAATTTTTGAAGAGGCAATAAATAACCTCCTGCTTGCTGCTCAACTGGAAACGGATTCATTTAACATTTTTGTCACTCCATATATGTCCGATCATTAAATTCTTCGATAAATTCTGTTTTTGTATTTTAAGATCTCGGTTCAACATTTTTTTTATACTATGTGATGCCAATTGTATAATGCTTCCAACCATATTTTATATATCAATAAGAAATAGTTATTTCCTTCCTATTGTGACAAAGAAAAAAATGACAAAGTGTGAAGAATGGGAAAAAGTGTATAGTTAGGTTATATTTTTTATGCTGACATTAATTAATACAAGAGCAAATTTAAAAAAAATTCAAGAAGTACTATGTGTCCTGTATGATGGACCAACCTTAAGTAGAAGAACAAGGTCTTCCAATTTGGATCTGTATATATGTATATATGTATATATAGAAAAGCATAAGGAGATATTGATGTTTTTGGACCCAATTTTTTCCTTTCTTTTATGTATTTTTTATTGTGCATGGGCGTTTTTAATTGAAAGAAGTTTATTTAAAGCACGATTTGTCATTAAATGCAGATACATCTTTTAATAAAAATTCAAACATTAATTTGTCTCATTATGAATAAATAGTCATTTTTACTAAATTTAATAAGAGTTGTTTTTTTATATATATTTTTAATAAAACCATGATTACGGAGGATAGATTATTAGCCTAATCAAGATTAGCATTCAACCATAGCTAGGTTCCTATGTATCCAAGTGGAAGGAAATCAAATATATTATATTCAACATTCATCATCTACATTATACTCTTATTATCTTAAATTATAAAATATTTTTGAAGCTAATTCAACATTTTAAAATATAAAATATTTTAAAAGGATAGATTAAAGTTTTATTAAATATATTCATTACAGTATTACCCTCTTTTTTATTTAATTTATGTTCATCTCTCTTTTCAATATATTAAATGAAGAATATTTTTTAAAATTATATTTTTATTTTTTAAAAAAGATTTTTAAGTGTATTTAAATATGTTTATTGATACATGAAATTTTACCTGAAATGAAATTTTACCTAAAATGTTTTATAAGTTGGGATGGAGAGAGTATAGTATATCATATGTATCATAGGCTAACCAACCAATGCAAATATTTGATTGATTTATTCGAAAACATGTTTGAACTAAAACAGTCCAGCCACGCATCATAAGCTTTTTTTCCCCCTTCACATTAATCAAATTGATGAGAGGGTGGCTAGTTGAGCATTCTCTCACGGTGGGATTAAAAGCTTCGATCATAATCATTTGGGTTTAATTCTTATTTTTCTCTCTTTTACTTTTATTCTTTAGTTCTGAAAATCCTTGATATGATTTCTATGTTAGCTAATGATTTAAAATGTTACGTTCAAGTTTCTTGCAATTTATTTTATTATCACCTAATCATTACTCTTTTGATCCTCTTTATAAGTTATTTCTATCAATCTCATTAATATCAATGTAAAAAAAGTATAAGAAATAAAAGTGTGTAGAATTTTAAATATATCTCTATATAATAAAATAAAAAAGTAATGTCATGTTATTTTTTCTCTCTTATAAAAAATAATTTTAAAAATACTTTTTAAATATTACTTAAAAAATCACACCATGATTTATAAATGATACCAAATATGCTTTTTAGAATGTTACATATAAATGGAATTAGAAGGAGTATTTGTTATTTTTTATTCCTAAATATAAATTATTGCATTATTACATCATCACTTTATCATTACCACTATATGACTCTTTACTGTTAGCATTGGATGTAATCCTATGCAGGATGTATTCGGATATTAAATATGGGCATTTTTCAGAAACAAAAATTCAAACTTTAATTCTACTTTCACTAATCCATTTTCTATCAGTCTATTATGACGTGACTTTATTTTAGTTATACAACGCATATGCCCAACATCATTCATTTAATTCTTTCAGTAATAACTTATAAATGCTGGTAAACTATTTAGTGTTATGTAGCCAGACATCAAGTGGAGTACACAGACACACTACATTGACTATTAATATTATTTTTTAACATCAAACAAGTGAAGGATAAAGTCACTGAGAATCGTACTAATGGTGGGGAAAATTTTGTAAATAAAAGTCATTCATGATGATTCTATTGTACCTTACTAATCAAAGAATGACAAAAATGAAGGGTTTTGCAGTTAAACGAATAAAACTGATGGATGAAAACGTGGAGAGTACGGGCCTGCAAAACAAAGGCTAATCAATATATCAAAAGCTTCATAAGAACCCTTGATTTAAAAAAAAAAAAAACTGAAAAGAGCCAACATTGATATAGGACGTGATCCACGCGAATAAAAGCGGAAAAGTCATGATTCTGTATGTGTCTCTCAGCTTTATGCCATATGAAAGGCCGGATGAATTTTAGGATCAATTGAAAATCTCAAAATATTTGTAAATAAAATAATTTTTTACTTCGAGTCCCACATCGTTAGAAACTGTAAACTTAACGACCTTTATATATGCTGAAGCAAGATCGCACGGTGGCAGGACCACGAGGCGTTGTGATTGGGTTCACATGTTCAGTGACTTTGTTACTGGGCTGAGCTCAGGAAAGTCCCCGGGCCCATCACTGCAGAGATGCAGACCCGGAAACGCGTAGCTTCGAGATTGGGAGTTCATTCGCTCATACGGGTGAAGGGCTGAGACACGTGTGGAGCCTAAAAATTCCCCCGAAGACACTGGCCAATGACACAGTTATTCACAAAGTCCTCAACGGACTAACAGAACGGGGCTTATGACCTCGTGGTCGTTATCTTTTATTTGCTAGACGAATTCTGAAGTGTAGCCCAAACATCTTATGTGAAGGGGGTTGGAAGTTGGATATCTTTCTTAATAGGGACTCGGCTTTTTGTTGTCGTAGAGAAATTCTCTACACGACCCAACTTCTATTTTGATGACCCATCTTATTATGAATTAATTAAATATATTTTTTATAAATATTTTGTAAAATTTGAAAAATTCATATTTATACTTTTTTGGTCCAAAACAGATAGTTATAATTTGAATGGTAATATAATTATAAGTTTTATATTTTAAGTTAAAATACACATTTAGTTTTTAACTATATACAACATTTTATTTTAATTTCTTAATTCTTTAAAATATACTTTTAATCATTTACCTCTAATATTGTTAGTTTTATTTCAATAAATTTTTATACTGAATTTTTAAATATTGATAAAATATTTTTAAATATTGACATATTAATTTTAATTTTTCAAAATAACAATGATTACATAAAAATAATTGTTTAAAATTAATAATGATAGGATTACAGAATTAAAAAAATATTTTATAAAATTAAAGGATTAAAGTAAAATTTTATATGAAGTTAGAAGATTAAAAATATAATTTAATTTATATTTTATAGTATTGAATATTGAAATTTAAACTTTATCTTAGATTGAATGAATATTCTATATGGAACTGTTGATATGTGAACCTATTATAGATTATTTATTTTATAATAATTTTTTGATATTAATATAATTAACATATTAAAATTTATTTATTTTAATTTGATTAAATAAAAATATATTAAATAACTAAGACTTATCCCATCTTAAATTTGATTGAATATATTAAAATGATTAACGATTGATGCCGGGGTACTCAGCTGGACTTGGGCGTGGGGGTAGCGTGTTCGTGCGTAGAGAAAACGCTCACGTTTTCGAGGAAGCAGCGCAATCCGAGTGGAATTGAAATCCAATCCTCTCTCGTCCCTCTGGTCTCTGCTACAAATTCCCAAATTCCTGTGATCCATCCTCCAAAATTGTCTCCTAGGTCAGTTGCTTACGATTTTCTCGGTGTTTCCCAGATTTTAATTCTCTGATCGCTCGCTGTGAAGTAAGGAATCATGGGCAACACGGAGAAGTTGATGAACCAGATCATGGAATTGAAATTCACCTCCAAGTCCCTTCAACGCCAAGCCCGTAAATGCGAGAAGGAAGAGAAATCCGAGAAGCTTAAGATCAAGAAAGCCATGGAGAAAGGGAACATGGACGGCGCTCGCATCTACGCTGAGAACGCCATCCGAAAGCGAACCGAGCAGATGAACTATCTGCGCCTCGCCTCTCGGCTTGACGCCGTCGTGGCTCGGCTTGATACTCAAGCCAAGATGAGCACCATCAACAAGTCCATGGCTAACATCGTCAAGTCTCTCGAGTCCTCCTTGGCCACCGGGAATCTCCAGAAGATGTCCGAGACCATGGACTCCTTTGAGAAGCAGTTTGTGAATATGGAGGTTCAAGCTGAGTTCATGGAGAGCGCCATGGCTGGATCCACCTCGCTTTCCACTCCTGAAGGCGAAGTCAACAGCTTGATGCAGCAGGTCGCCGATGATTATGGCCTCGAGGTCTCGGTAGGTCTGCCGCAGCCTGCATCTCACGCGGTGCCGACTAAGGAGACGGAGAAGGTCGACGAGGATGACTTGTCTAGGCGACTTGCTGAGCTTAAGGCTAGAGGTTAAGATCGATTTTTTATCATTAGGGTGATGGGTATCATTTGTGAATGCGATACAATATAAACTACGCAATCATACTTGAGTTTTTCTCATTTTTATAATAATGAGAATGAGTGATTTATGTATATTAAACAGAATTACGCTCTAAGCTGTTAATTTGCACTGTATTTAGGGATGATCTCTTTGCATTATGCCAATCCCAGTTGTTACTCATACTTATTAACGGTGGCCATGTGAAATTTTTAGATTCGTTTCTTGAATCGAGATATAGATTATGTAGATGTTAGACGGGTGTATGATTTTTGAAGAACATGTCCAGTTATTTTAAGTATAATTTAACAGCAGATAAGTGATTGATGGTTTGTGGACGGTGGGGAATGAGTGATATCGGTTGCTCAATCAATAGTGCAAGTGCGATGAAGTATTTGATTACAAAAAGTGGTTAAATGCCTTTCTTTCTTTCTTTCTTTTTTTTTGCTTTTTACAATGAAGTGAGAGTGGGAGAGTCAATTAATTGAGTAATGCTTATGTCATCTGTGGATCGTGCACTGTGTAGTTGATGGGGCTTTGGGAGATGCTAGGAGCTCTTACATTTTGCAGTGTGTTTTGCTAACAAGTTGATGATTCCATGTGTTTTAGTTGCTAAAGCAACCAGGATTTTGGAACCATCATTATTTTGAGACCTGGGCTGTGGAACTTGTTTTTTCCCTCGTTTATCCATTATAGAATCGGAACAAAGGTCTGAATTTAGAGCCTCTTTCTAACAAGCTCTTATCTCACCGCAAATCCACGATGGGTAACTTCAAAATCTGTTCTGTTATGTGTTCGGGTAATATAATTACTTTGATGATTGTGGAATTTAGCTCTGAACTGTTATGAATGATTTAATGGTTCTTGTTATCCCAGGCTTTTCCTGCCAGTCATTATTCTTACTGTAGCTGTTCACAAGAGTTCAAATGTTTGCTAAATTAAAAAGTATTTTCTAGAAAGGAAAAAAATGCGCTTATTCCATTTGTTTAGGTATATTTCTCATTTTCTTTCTTTATAACACTTACTGTATACGAGTGAAAAATTGTGGGAAAGAAGCCAAGTTGAGTCTTTGAAATTGTTACCCTTCATTCTACTTCCCTGTCAAGAACTCTGAAGATTAAGGACCTCTTTGAAAACCTGTTTTGAGAATAGTTCTGTTTTTCAAAACAAGAAAATAAAAAAATTTGTTTGGGAATATTTTTAAAAGGTGTTTTGGTGAACAAAAAAATAAAATTTTATTTTGGAGAGCAGAAAAATAAAAATAACTTTTAAGTATTCTGTGATTATTGTTCTGGAAAATAAGGGAGAATGAAAAAAATACTTATTTTTATTATTTTTTGATCTTCAGAATATGTTCTGCAACATATCAATTCTCAAAATAATAAAATAAAAATAATTTCAAATAGCCCCTGAGTTTTGGATCAAGGGAACAGGCACTGCTGTGCACTAATCGATCATATGATAAATCGACCTCTGTGGAAGAAAATCTACGTGCCTGACAAATACTAAGAGTTTGGTGAATAATAGTTGATGGATTTTATATAAGTTTGACTCATGACAGGTGTGCTGGTAAAACAGTTTCTATATTATTATATTATAGATAATAGATATAGAATATATACTGGACCGAAAAAGAGCTAATATGCAGAATAAGATTCTCCTTCAAGCACGTCCAGTCACAAGGAATTTTACTTCAGCATTTTGGAGAAAGCACATTGAGTTTTTAAGTTTTGATACTTTTATCACAATGGAATTTTGAGAATGCTTTCACATAACAAAGAAGAGCTATTCTATGGTTATATAATGCTTGATATTTATGAAAAGGAAAAGTGATAAATTTAACCATTTGAAATTTATTAAACAGCGAATACTCCATACAACCAATTTTGCCATAGGCATTCTGGAGTTTTGTTCGAACTATCAGCCTGAGTCAATCGGTAATTACAAATTAGAATGATAAACGTGATGGGAAATTATTAGGTCGCCAGAATTTCTCTCAAACGTAGATAAATACTTGCTCTTAAATTGTCCTGGGTATAACTACATGATATTGATACACTCGTTCACCAATAGTACAGCAACACTTCCAAACCTATTATACCAGCATCATAAGACTCACTAGTTCATTTTTTAAAAAGCTAGAACACCAATTTAATTTCATATAGTTTTCTGGCCAGTTTTGGGAGCTGAAGACTTTGAAGCAGAAGTTGAAAACCTATTCAAGCAATTTTGCACCTTCTGAAGCAAGTTTTTTGATTGTTCAGGAGACAAAACGAAGGCAATTGAATCCAAATGCCAACCACTTTGCCCCTTAAACCCTACAACTTTGCCTCCTTCCATAGAAAAGGTAAATGGTGAGCCTTCTTCAACTCCATATGGACCATATGTTCGGCTGTTGCTCTTAAATGTCAGTGATCGAATGACCGGGGTGCCGCCACGTGCCACTGGACAATAATGGCCACTGACACCAATCAAGAACTCATTTGGGTATTGCAGCTTAATCTGGTGGAAATGGAAAATGAGTGTCAGATTTAAGTTAATCCACACCTTATATGGGTACAACCTTTTGAGGATAACAAATATATATATATATATATATATATATTTGAAGGTACACCGAACTGACCTCAGCAGTTTTGTTGCCTCCAATTCCTCCATGCTTGTCAGATTTGAAAGGCTTGCCATGTTTGTCATAAACCACTTGAATAGAGTCTATACATTGTCCATAAACCAGTGTGATTTCTCTCACCCCTGTGAAGCAACCATCGTCCCAGCTAGATCCTCCATTTCCTCCCCATGGTCCCACAACTATCAGGCTTCTCTTCTTCCTTCCTGTTCCTTCCTACAAAATCCACTGGCTTAGTTCTGTTGAAGAGCCTATCGTGGGAGTATGATCCTATAAACTTTGTTTGCAGTGAATAGATTATATACCTACTCTAATGAATCAAGGAGTAGGAGTGAGGAGGCCTAATTTATTGGGACCTCAAATTGTAAATACACTCAAATAGAAGCTTGAATTTGCAATCTTGAATGTTCAAATTTCTTAGTAGATTCAAAGGAAAACATCGCTTCAGAATTGAAAAAAACAACTATTTTTAGTTTTCTACCAAACATTACATGCACAGCGGGAAACATGATTGGTTAGAAGAAAACGCCAGGATTTGAAAAACCTTACCATAGAGACAATAAACTTGGAAAGACGGATGATGAACCACTTGAATAGAGTCAAAGTTTAGAATAAGCAATGATTCAGATGTTATATTAGCAGAGTTAAAGTTTAGCTATTGCTTTGAGAACTGAGATTAACATATATACATATATATAGGCAACAAAAATTGAGGGCTTAGTGTGGTATCTGATTCCATTTAAAGCAAGACATAGTCACTTCACTTTTTGCTATTAGGCAAACAGGCGTATTATAAAAGAATGGTAAATACTCAAATACATGGGAACCACTAGAAGATAAATGCCAGACTTGAATCTTTCAAAATCAACTTTTTTCTTACAGCAAACTTGGTTACAAATGGAATTCAGAAACCTAGCAACACAGGCGTTAACTCGCTTAAAGGTAAATAAATACTCCTCTGTTATTCTGGGTATAACTACAGGATATGGATACATTCATTCATTTATAGTACATTCACACTCCTATGACACCAGCAGCACAAGACTCTCTTTATTCTTACTAAACTAGAACATAAATTTAATTTCCGATGGTTTTCTGGACAGAGTTGGGGGCTGAAGACTCTTAAGCAGAGGTTGAAAGCCTATTCCAGCACTTTTGCACCTTCTGAAGCAAGTTTTTTAGTTGTTCAGGAGACAGAGTGAAGGCAATTGAATCCAATACCAGCCACATCGTCCCTGAAACCATACAGCTTTGCCTCCTTCCATTGAAAAGGTAAATGTTGTGGCTCCTTCAACTCCTATGGTCCATAGGTTCTGCTGTTGCTCTTAAATCTCTCTGACCGAATGACTGGACAACAAAGACCACTGACACCAATCAAGAACTCATTTGGGTCCTGCAGATTAAACTGGTGATGGTTTATGGATGCTGCTGAATGAATGAATATAGGTTGCTCCATCAATAGTACAAGTGAGAAGTTAGGAAAAATGGTTAAATGCAATTTTTTTTTGGGTAGAAAATGAGAGTAAAAAAGGTCAATGTTTTGAGTGATGCTTTATTGTTATCTGGGAACTTCGAACTGTGAAGTTGAACAGGCTTTTGGAGAATCTAGGAATTCTTATAATTTGCAGGGCCAACATGAAGCGGCTTATAATTTGGTAGACAGTGGTTTTTCCAAGGATTTGATTCCATGTGACTTGTTAATTGCTTAAGCAACTCAAGATTTTGGAGTTGGTTTTAGGAAATGACATATTATTGCAGGAGACTTGGGAAGTTGAGCTTGTTTCCCCCCCTTTTTTGTACATGATAGAATTAGAACAAAGGAGTGGATTTAGAATCTCTTCCTAATAACCCTATCTTACCACAGAGACACAACGAGTAACTCTAGATTAGTTATACAGTCGGATAATATAATTTCTTTGACGGTTGTTGAATTTCGCTCGCAACTGTTATGGATGATTCAGCGGTTCTTGTCATCCAAGGCCTTTCATACTAAAAATTAATCTTGCTGTAGCTAACAACGGTGTAGTTCATGTGAGTTTTAAGGGAAGAAATTCTTTGAAAGAAGTGGAAGGTTGAGTCTTTGAAATTGTCATCTTTCATCCCACTTTTCAGTGGAGCACTCTCAGGTGAAGGAGACAAAATTGTCTTTTTGGCAAAACAAAGAGACTAAATTTGGGTCATTGAAACTGTGCACAAATTGATTTTATGAGATATCAACCACTATTAAAGCAAACCAGTGCAGGTTCTCTATATTATATAGAGTTTGAGAATGAGTCACAGTTTATAACTTGGGAATAGTGTCAGTTAGACTTTAAAAATATTTATATTGAATATATACCAGACAAAACTTACGCGCTAATATGCAGAATAAGATTCCATTACAATCACATTCAGTTACTTTTGCATTATAAAATAGCACATTGACCTTGAAGTTTAGCATCTCTCTCCTAACGGCATTTTGAGATTCTCTCATGCAACAAGGAAGACCATTTTATTGTATGATTTTTGGTATTAGTGATAATGAAAAGTGATCAATTTAACCATTTGAATCATGATAAACAAAACCAATTCAACCAATTCTAGTTAAACACCTTAAGACGTTCTAATTTTGCATAGAATCAGTTGCTCCAAAAGCGTTTTGGAATTTTGTTCACATTATCAACTTGAGTATAGCTGTAATAATTAATTAGAATGACACCAATCAGAAACTCATTTGAGTACTGCAGCTTAATCTGGTCATCATGGAAAATGTGTCAAAGTTTTATGTTAATCCAGATACCTCCTTTTGAGGTCAAAGTATAGTTAGAACAAAATCTTCATCTTAGACACAAAAGTGATTCCCCTTGATAGAATATCTTTCAAGCATCCAAATAGGGTTGTTGTCAGAGAATGGCAAATTTTTCAGATATTGAACTAGCCTAATGAGTTTTGAAGCCTTCAAATTCTCCATGTTTGGCAGCTTTGAAAGGCTTACCATGCTCATCATAAGCCACTATGTTTATGTTTACAATGAACAGATTATATCTAATCCAATAAATGAAGGACCAAAGTGTTAAGGAGGCGTATTTTTTAGGAACGTTGAATGCTCAAATTGAAACTTTATTTAGCAATCTTGATTTGTCTTAACTTCTTTATAGATTCAAAGGAAAACTAGGGACCTCAAATTGTATATCTACTCAAGTAGAAACTTTTATTTAGTAATCTTGAATTGCCTAATAGAAACAACTGTTGAGAATTGAAAAAACAATAATTCTATTTATCTACAAAACAGTAGATGCGCAACAGGGAAATATGACTGATAAGAACGAAAACCCCAGGAGTCGAACAACCTTACCATGAGGGCTATAAGCTTGTAAAGATGGATGAAGAACAAAATGGAATAAACACCGAGTCAGATTTGTCACAGAAGCAGCGTTAAAGTTTAGCTATTAATTCGAGAACTCACGTTAACCGAGACTTGTATACATAACATACATACATATAGGCAACACAATTGGATGGCTTAGTGCATCATCTATAAGATAAATGTCAGATTTGAATCTCTTTCACAATAAACTCTTCTCTCTCACAACAAACTTGATGATAATGAATACTTTTTGACCTGAAGATGACAACGAATACTTACTCTTTATTTACCGTATAACTGGAGGACATTGATGCACCCACTCAATTTCAGTATAGTAACACTCCTAAAGCTATGACACCAACAACATAAGATTTCCTAGTTCATTCTTACTGAGCTGAAACATAAGTTGAATTTCATGTTTCTCTAACCTATCCAAGCACTTTGACTTCTGAAGCAGATTTTGATAGTTCAGGAGACAGCGAAGGCAACTGAATCCAAATATCTTCCACCTCGTCCCTTAAACCCTACAACAACTTTGCCTCCTTCCTTTGAAAAGGTAAATAATGTGTCTTCTTCATAACCATATAGGCCAGATGTCCTTTCGTTGCTCTTAAATATCAGTGATCGAATAACCAGGGCGCCGCCAAATGGAAAATAATGACCGCTGACACCAATCAGGAACTCATCTGGCAGCTGAAGCTTTATCTGATGGACATGAAAAATGAAGGTTAGTGTTAGTTAATCCCCATCTTATATATCGTGGACAACAGACATATGTCAAGTTAGAACAAAATCTTCCTCTTAGACACTTGTGATGCCTATAAAAAAAAATGTTCCTCAAGAATCAAAGTAGTGTTGCTGTCATAGAATGATAGTCAGATACTGAACTGACCTCATGAGTTTTGTCTCCTCCAATTCCTCCATGTTTGTCAGCTTTGAAAGGTTCACCATGTTTATCATAAACAACTTGAATAAAGTCTGTACAATGTCCATAAACTAGATCCGCCATTTCCTCCCCATGGTCCCATCACTATTCATAGGAGCATGATCCTATAAACTGTTTACAGCGGACAGATTATATATCTACTCCAATAAATCAAGGACTGGAGTTTTAAGGATGCATATGTTTTTAGGGACCTCAATTTGGAAATCTTGAATTGTCTTCCTTAGCATAGCGATGAGAACAAAAGCATTTGGTGCACAGGAGGAAACATAATTGAAGAGAACAAGAAGGCTTAGGAATTGAATAACCTCAACATAGGGACTATAAAACTTGGAAAGAGGGGTGGAGAAGATTAGAATACACAAGCAACGATTCACATTGTTTACAGTAGCAGCGTTACAGTGCAGCCATGGCTATAGATATAGATATAAATAGGCAACCCAATTTCAGGACTCTCTGCGGTGTCTAGGAATTTCACTTGCTTTTAGTAGTAAATAAAAACATCTAATGTGAAAAACCAAAAAAGAAAAAAAATAAAAGCATCTAATGAAGAGTCAGATATTAGTAATTAGTAATTCATTGGATTCGATGGCAAAAAATGAGGAAGAAGAAGATTAAATTCCTAGGAGAATATTTATTGTATAGTCTTTTTGGGGGCATTTATTTTACAGTCTGCAATTTGATAATTTTTAAAACTATAAATTTAATAATTTTAAAAGTATAAATCACATTTAAACGGTTTAAATTTGCAATAGAAGAAAAACGTAGAGTAAAACGTGCCAATATATTGCGGACCTGTGGATCTTTTTCATATATACCCACTAATATCTAAAAGTTACTTTTGGTTTTCCCTTTTCAAATCAGTCAAGTGTTTTTAAAAAATCTCTTATTCCAAAAAAATATTTAAAAATATTTTATTTTATTATTTTGAGAATTGATATTTTATAAAATATATTTTAAAAATAAAAAATAATGAAAATAATTATTTTTATCATTTTCTCTTACTTTTTACAACAATAATTTTAAAACACTTAAAATTTATTTTCATTTTTTTTCTTCAAAATTATATTATATTTTTTTAATTTTTAAAACACTTTTTAAAAATATATCACCAAATAATTTTTTTATTATTTTATTTTAAAAAATAGAAAACTATTTTGAGGACAAGTTACCAAATATGCTCAAAATTGGGCTATTATCTCTTTACTTCACACTGAAAATAAGTGTTATACTCTTCACCAAAATTTATGTAGAAACGTAAGTAGAACTAAGCTTGACAAGTTTACTTGAAAAAGTCCAACAAATTTTAAGATTGAGCTTACAAAAATTGTACTTTATTACATTCGGGCAGAGCTTCACGGATGTCAGGCTTGGCCTAACCTTTTGCCTTTTTTCAATTATATAAAACATATTAAATAAACATTAATCAAGTCCTTACGATTTATTTCATTTTATACCAAGAAACCATATACATCGAATATATTATTATAGTTATTTTCTCCAAAAAATCAAAAAGATACATTATCATAGTTATTCCATGCTTCTATCATTTAAAAAAAAAACACTGTTTTCTTCCAAATATTAGAAACACGGGAAGAAACATGACTTCTAAGAACAAAAACGCTAAGACTTGAATAACCTTATCACAGGGGCTATAAACGACAAAAGGTTGGAATATGCAACGATTCAGATTCGTTTACAATAACGAAAGCCTAGAAGGACTTGGCGTAGTATCTGATTCAATCTAAAGTAAGACACATAAGCTGGAATTTCATTTTGTCCTTTTAAAAGGATATACTCAAAAATAATGTTAGAAAAAGAAAGGCAAGCATTCAGGTGGATGAGAACTGCTATGGACACTGAGAAAAATGCCAGCTTTCACATTTGAGAATCTTTTTCTTTTATAGAAACTGAGGCAGATGAAATTCAGATATCAAGCTCAATGGAGATAATAATCCTCCCATGAAACCGCAATGTAATATGCCATAAATTGACATCCTTAAAACCATGTCTTTGCCAACCAAACACTTCTAGACATGTATTTTATGTCTTCTCAGGTCTCTCCCCATGTCTGAAACCGTTCCAATATAATCTAAGGGTAGTCAAACGAAGTGGCAATGCCGTTTGCGTACACGCTAACCGATTGAGCCAGGCAGATGTCCATTTGTTGTTAGCATCTCCAAAATCCTCAATCTTGATGTCCTTCAAGAAGTGCCGCCAACATTTATTAGATGAAGTGAAATAATTGCAACAGCTTGAATTTCCTTCTCTATTCTTCATCTTTTCATGTACTAACTGGAATAATGCCATTGACATTAAAAGGAAAAGAAGTTAGCAAATGCTTTCTGCTACAACAAATCAACAATATCTATATAAAGGAACACAAAATATGAATGTGAACATGATAACCGTAATACCCTTGGGAACTTTCTATTTGAAGGAAAAATCATGCAGAGAGTCTCAGGGTGACATGTACCCAGCAAACTATAGAACCGATCTATAAATACCAATGGAGAGAGAATGTCAATGCTGAGGTTGGGGAGCTCGGGAAGCAACACTCTATCCAAATTTTCATAAATGACAATATTCTGCATCAAGCAAACAAGTGAGAAAAACAAAATGCGATTTTAAAGTTATTTTAAAATTAGAAATAATAATTTGGCATGAAACTTGAAAACAGAACCAAAATATAACAGATATTTGAAGAAGAATACCTTCTTGGATCGGATAACCAATTTGTAGCTGCCTTCATGGTCAAATTTTCTGATAAAATCCATCAACTTGGGAAAGTAGCCCTGCTTTTCAAACATTATAGGTCTAGACTTATCGATAGGTTCGAAAGAAAGCTTGGCATCCCTAAGGGAACAAGGATGCATTTCAATGCGGGGCATCTTCTTACCCTGAAACTCAAATGACCGAAGATTTGGAGCATTTATAGAAACAAATTTCATTTTCTTGCATCCTTTCAAGGCAAGCTTCTGAAGCTGCGGGTTTGAAATGTTAATGCACTTCAAGCTATCCAATGTGCTTAGATCCAACGCTTCAAGAAGGGGAAAATCATAGAACTTGCTCTTTTCACAAAAGTCATCTTTCACTTGATGATACCCTAATGTCAACTTTTTCAGAGATTTACAGCTAGCTAAACTAACTTTGCAGGGAGTTGATTTCTCACAATGAAACCAAAATGTGTGAAGATTAAGACAATCAAGCTCCACCTTTCTTAGTTGAATGCACTGGTGTATTTCAACTCTATTCAGCCTAATACGATCGCAGATCCACAATTCCTTCAAACCTGAGCAATGTATGAGTCTTAAATCATAAATAAACTTGCATTTTGAGATCAGATTCTGAATGATCTGCTCATTTAACATCACTTTCCGCAGACAAAGCTTTTGTAGATGAGGAAGCATTATGTTGTCAAATCTAGTCAGCTCGCACCCACATAACCTTAGTTGGGAGAGAGACTCCGTCAAAAAGACATGTTCAGGTAAAATATATCGCATGTTTGCCTTTGTGTCAATATTGATATCCAGCTCTTTAATGTTTTTCTCAATGACTAAATCTAACCAATGGTCAATATGAATGATAACTTCTGCATCAAAGGAGACCATATGTATGCTCAATTTTTTTAGGCCTATATTTTTTTCAAGGTAGAGTTTTAGAGAATTGTCCACGTAGTTTAAAAAACAGCCGCTCATCATAAAATCACTGCCTTTAAATGCGCGTTGGTCAAATGTCAAACTGGAAAAGGAGTACCATAGTTCTCTCCATCTCTTTGATAAAATGGAGGTGCGAGCCACTTCCCTTGGACATCGAATGAAAGACAAAATGTAATGTACCACATGATCAGGCAATTGTGAAATACGATCCATAGATTCCATTTTTTGCTTCTTCTTTTTGTCCAGTCTTTGATTACCTTGCCTTTCTCTAAGTCTGGGATTCTCTCGTTTCTCTGTCATCGCTGCAGAAAAGCAGGTTGATAAATGAATTCAATAAATTCCAAAGCAAGAGGAGAGGAAAAGTACGATAATCAACTGTGCCAATTTTGGCCTTGAACCTACCGAAATCATTGTCATCACACAATGTGCTCACAAGACGCAAAAATCACATTTCACATAACAAACACACACACCACACACACACACACACGTATGAAGGTTCAAATAAATATCTTCAAGAATCAGCAACGAAACAAAAAAGACACATTGGCATTCAAATAACAAATTAATGACTGTGATGAAACAACATGAACACATTTTGATCAACCTGACCAATCACATGCAAAAATAAAAATAAAAGAAAGAAATCAAGAAAATAAAATACGATATAACAATTATTAATTAATTCATTTATAAGGAGTGGGTGACTTTGACTTTGTCTAAAAACCTAAGGATAACATATATGTGAAAGGATTAAAAATCTCTTGGACCAAAAAAGATGATGATGATGAAGAAGAAGAAGAAAGAAAGGATTAAAAGTTCGCATGCAAAAGTGAAATAAATCAAACAAGATAAGAAAAGATAAAAAAAGAAAAAAAATACGCCCCCATTATTCCACCAGCAATGGACATTCATGGGCAAGAAGAATCCATCTCCAGAAAACGATAAAATAGATTAATCGAAAGAGGTAAAGAGTCTAAATCTGACTAATTAGACACTGGTATACTATCCATGAAGGATCATTCTTAACTAGGTCAGAGATGAAGCGAAGAAACTGGAAAAGGAAAATAGTCTCTCTACGTTTTTTTTTTTTTTTCTAATTTAATCTCTCCGGCGTCTTCCAGTCAGTTTTCTTTGTGTTCTCCGATCTCTCCTGTATGTCGCCAGCGCTCTTTCCCTCTCAAGTCTATCACGTTTCGCTCTCTTTTGTCTTCGGAGTGGACTCTTTCTGTTTCCCTCTCTTCCCCGTCTTTAACCGCCGCTTTCCATCCCTCTGCCGCCTTTTCCTTATACATACTGATGAGGATGAGATTTAAATCTTAAAAAGAGTTCAATTAATTACCACTAAAATAACTCAACTGATGACTTGAAAATGAGAATGATATAATTTTATTTAATTTAAATATATATTTAATTCTTCAACTTTATATAATATTTTATTTTAATTTCTTAACTTTATAAAATATTTTTTTTAATTTTTTAATTTAATATTAATAATTTTATTTTAATAAATTTTTTATTAAACTTTTAAATATTAATAAAATATTTTTAAATGTTGACATATTACATAATTTTTTAAATAATAATGTCACACACAATAAATAATTATTTAAATTAATAATATTAAGGTTAAAAAATTTAAAAATACTTTACAAAATTGAAGAACTAAATTAAAATTTATATTAAATTAGAGGATTAAAGTATGCTTTAATCATTTTATTTTTATTTAAAATGTCCAAGCAACATTTTAGGAAGAATTTTGTTAAAGTGGCTTGCATGTGATATGTAACACACCAAATTTTTTTTTAAATAATTTAACTCAACCATAGTTGGGTTTAACACCACCCAACACATTTTTATATCAATAATTTCGATATAAAATATTTTATAATTGGCTTCAACTCACACACTATAACATTTCAGATAAATTTTTACCTCCCACATGCCATTAGGCTAAATCACATTTGTCCATCCTTATACTCCCAACAAGTAAACTAAATCACATTTGTCCATCCTTATACTCCCAACAAGTAAAATAAGCAATTTAATAAATTTTTCAACACAAGCCAGTTATTTGACCTTATAATCATGCCATTTTAACCAATCCAAAGTAAACCAAATATTAAAATTACAGTCATCCAAATTGTACCAAAAATAGAAATAGTTTGAAAGGCATGATTACATTTATATATTCATATAATTGACAATAAACAAAAAGCCCTAATATTGGCAATATAACACATTATAAATCATAAATTAAATACCCAAAAGAGACAGTGGATCTATACCACTAAGCCTCTGGGACTCCTCCACGTGTCACTCGTGGCTCTTCTCCTGAAAATTGTTAACCACATAATGAGACTCAAAAGTCCCAGTAACCAAAGCCAATTTATGATAGTGTATACAAACAGTTAAGTGTGTGCTTACTAAGTGAGAATTAAAAATAATATAATTCCAACAAATATAAGAAATATTACAATATACACAAACAACCATCCTTATATCTCTCCATTAACCTCGAGCCGTAGCCCTCACTCGGTGCTAAATTACCCGACCAAAGGTAGATTAGCCTGAGCCCTTACAAGCCACCTATTGAGCTCCAATAGGGGCGTACCACGTGGCACATAAATACAACAATAATAGCAAGTCTCCCAACACCTCCCACAATAATTAAACAAATTCATAATAATATTGCACAATTATATAATATTACAAAATTCATAATTTTCTCAATAATCACCCAATTAACATGAAGTAACACTAATCACAAATTAAAAGCATGGTTACTTCGTGGCTTTTTCAATAAATTATTCCTTAAAATTTCTCTCTCACCACAATCTTCACCAGTAATACAATCTACAAAATAACATATTATTTATAAATATTAGTTTCAATTTTTGAAACTAATAAAATAATTCTAATAATAGAATTAAAAATATAATATAATTTCTAATTTCAATCTTAATACAAATCTATAGTTAATACTATTAAGTAAAATTTTTTAACTCCTCTTTTAATTATCAATAAACATTAATAATCTAAAAATCAACTTCTAAATTAATTTCTATTATCAAAATTTTCTTTTTATTTTATAAATTCGTACCTAAAATACCCAAAAATTAAAAATTGAGTCTCTAGCTTAGAATCATAATCCTATAGCCATAATAATTCATTTCTCATCCCAAATAATCATCTAAACCTCAATAAATCAACATATATTTTCAGATCTAGTTCAGAATTTGATCCATAAGCCACAGATTCAAAGATTATCAATAAATTTATACTCTAGCACATTTATTATACTACTGACAACCTCAAAAATCATATTTATTCAACATAAATTCATCCCTCTTCCAGATCTTAAATTTTCTACCACTACAAACTCAGAAACCAAATAAAAAGGATGACTAAGAAAAAATTTTAGAACACTCACTTAGTCTTGAAAAGCTAAAATCACACCCTAAATATCCTATTAAAAACTCTTACCTTAAAACCCAGCACCGGTGAACTTGACTCACAGATGCTCTCTCTGTCTCAACTCACGCACGAAAGAAGGAATGAAGAAATGAAAGGAAACGGGTGAGTTTTATAAAAATTCAGTGGGTCCCACACATTTTTTTTATTTACTCTTTCCTCTCTCTTCTTCTTCTTTTTTTTTATTATTAAACATAATCATTGCCCACCGAAAGTTCACTCCTTCTTCCCCTTTTTTTTTAATACGTTTTCCCCTTTTTTTATTATAATAATAATTTAATAATATTTTTTTATTATTTTTTTTAATTTTTTTTAATTAATTTTTTTTAGAATTATATCCTAAGTTAGATTTAATAATCATCTCTTACTAATTTTCTTACCTCTAAATATTATTTTTTTTTATTTCTATTAACCTAAATTAACTATTAAAATTTAAATTGGGATGTTACATGATATAATTTTAATTGTGTCTCAAAAAAATTTGAAATTTCACTACAAGTGTAGAGCATTAAAATGAAATAAATTTTATTTGTTGAATGATCAAAATATCCTTCAATTATAATTAGCATTATTGATGTAATAAGTCAACTGACAGTTTTTACAAATAATATTAATATTAATATTAATAAAATAATAAGTTTAGCTATAGATTTTACAAGTAACATTATTATTTTATAAGTAATATTAATAAAATGATAAGGCAAGTTATAATTTTTACAAATAATATTGGTATAATAAAAAGTTAAGTTATGATTTTTATGAGTAATATTATTAAAATAATAAGGCAAGTTATATTTTTTGCAAATAATATTACAAGAATAACAAGAAATTACATTTATTCTATTAATATTAATATTACTTGTAAAACTTGTAATTTAACTTGTTATTATACTAGTATTACTTGTAAAAACTATAAGTTAATTAGTTATATCAGTAATATTAATTATTATTGAAAGACATTTTAATCATTTAAGTTAGAGAATTTATTTCATTTTAATGCTTCAAGCTTACAGTAAAATTTCAAAAAAAGTTTTGGGATTCGATTTAATTTTATCATATCTAAAAAACTTTAATGAAATTCTCCCAAAATTCTATGCTCTTTTTTCTCCTAGATCTCACTTTATAAATTTTTATTTCCTTATAAAAAGCTCAACTCCATGGAAGGGATTTGTTTTTGTTTTTAAACTACTTCAAGATTCTCTCATTCTCCATCTTATAGGAAGAAACCACTATGATCTTGTTGCTTGGGACAAGGTTTGCAAACCAAAGTCACATGGAATTGTTGCTTGGGACAAGGTTTGCAAACCAAAGTCACATGGAGGACTTAAAATCAAACATGCTCATTAATAGAATTAGGCATTTCATATGAAGTTAGGGTGGGGGCTTATTAGACGTTGGGATGCTCTAGGTGGTTCACATTAAATATAAATGTGGCATGAATCTTCTTCCTAAAATTGATAGGAAGAGATTAGGTTCTAACATTTGGGCTGAATCAAGTCTTAGGAGGAGGTGAAAGTAGGGACTCTATTGAGTACGTATGGCAGGACGTCTCATAAAAGTAGAGTAGAGATGATCAATTTTCAATCAGAACTGCTTATGACTCTCTAGCTTAGCACATAAAAGTCCTTAATACCATGTGGAAGAAGATATGGAAGTTGCAGGTTCTAAAACAATGTAATGTAAGACTTTTTTATAGCTTTCTTACCATAACAAACTTCCTATCAAAGTAGGCTAAAAGAGGTGAGGAATGTATGATGATGATTGATGTGAGATTTGCAAGGATGCTATCAAGAATACTCTTTATGTTCTCTGAGATTGTCCTATCACAAGAAGCTTCTAGAGGGAAATCCTTAAGCATGATCATAAAAGTTCGTTCATCAAGGCAAACATAAATGAGTGGATCAGATGGAACGTGTAGCCTTCAAGGAAGAAAGATGGTGTTCCCTAGTGTGCATACTTTGCCATTGCTTGCTAGATCATTTGGAGAAGGCATAATGAGAAAATTTTTCAAGACAAAATTACTCCAAATGCTACCATTACTGCACAAACTTTGGCTATCATTAACACCTGCAAAGATTATTGTAGCAATTGAAGGGTATTGTGTGGGGACAACATGATGTCCCTATCCATAGTGTCATTTAGATTGTTCTGAATGTAAACTGGTTTAAGTTAGATGTGGATGGTGCTTTTGCTATGCATAATAACATTATGGGTTGTGGTGGTGCTTGTCGAAACTCACTTGGTGAATTTAAAATTAGTTTCATGCTTAACATGAATGGTGATGACCCATTGATTGCTAAGCTCTGAATGTGCCTATGAGGCCTTAAGTTTGTTTGAGACCTTGACTACTACCAAGTGATTCTTGAATTTGATTGCTTTGAAGAAGTGGAATTTGTTAATGGTAAAGGGTAGCTCAACATCCAAATAATGATGTTATCTCTGAAATTCAAGCATTGTTGGCTCAAGATTGGAGGATAGAAGTCCAAAATATCTCGCGTGATGTTAATGAAGTTGCAGACATACTCGCTAAACAAGCTTTATCTTATGTAAATGATTTTCACCTCGTGCTTACTCCTATTTCAAAATTAGTTAGATTGCTCAAGCAGAACATCTTAACTGCTTAACATCCTCCCCTATCCAAAGAAAAAAAAACTACTACAAGATTCTTTAGGGGAAATCACTGGAGTACTTTCGGATCTATTTGCACTTGATGACCAAAATTACTTATTTTTTTAAAACACCACTTTTGCCAAAATTTACAATTTTTAATTTTTTTAAATAATTATAATCTTTAAAAAAATTATTATCA